TGATAGTGCATTTGAATATCGCACATTTGTCTAGCATTATTGTACATGTCTTTTCTCACTATCTCTCATCCCTGAACAAGTAAACATGAATTAATTTCTCGTGTCTTAAGCAACTTATCTTTAAATTTCTGCGATTACTCCATATTATAATTTGATAAACTGTACTTATTTAGCTTCGCATCTTAAATTTTAGATAAGGATATAGTTAAGACTAATTTTAAGAGATAATGCGGTGGTCTTGTTATTATAAGTTAGCCAGGAAATTGTGTTGTATTGAGTTCAGAGTTTCGTGGAAGCTATCTTAAGCATTTTGACTTCCTCTCCGAAAAACTTTTGCTCCAGTCGCACGTATAACTGGAATAGTTATATCTTTGTTTTTGGGCATTTATATTAAGTGGAAAGCTAGAGTCACCTGAGGTGTTTCCTTAAGTAACTTAAAAGCGGGATATAAAAAAAATGTTAGAGCGCTTTTATTCCAAGCGAGGATCTTCGGGGTGTCGAGGCAGTTAAAGCCGCGACTATGTGCTTCTTAATTAATGCAAGTTTGAATAAAACAACTTCACTATTTTTATTTGCACAATCTATAAATTACGATTTTTTCTATTGATCCTTCCTGTTGCTTAAAAACCATGCAGATGATGGGAATTATAATAATTTGCTGGCTACAAATTAAAAACAAAATATCATACCAGGAACTTGGAATAATGAAGCGCCCCCTGAATAGAACAAGTACGTAGTGCTATGAAAATCATGGATATAAATGCGGCACCTAATTTGTTCCTTGATTCAATACTTTCCTGCATGAATAATTTATCATCGTTGCTCAGTGTGGTATAATCCCGGTAAAATTTGATTGAAGCTTTCTAATTTTACACTACACAATATCACACTCTACAATTTTTGCTGGCGTGCTAATAGGCTAATTGAGCATTTTTGCTTTGCTTTATTTTTGCCGAATTATCGTATATATTTTTGAGATACTGTACGACGTCTAGTCACGTTATTAGTTTCCTGATTTCGGCATTAAAAAAGCAAAGAAGTGGTTTTAATGCAATGCCATTCATTGATTGCCAAGTTCTTACAGTAATTTCTATCTGCTCAGTAATTTAAACGCTCTCCAAGCCCCAAACCTGAATCGGGCACCAATTTTTGTTCGAGCTCACAGCCAAGAATCATGATCACGATACTGAATACATGCTGTTATTGCACGACGATTTAGGACGAAAAAATATTTCTTCTGCCATGGAAACCCACTAAGCCCGCAAATTTTCGCAAATGAAACCTGATGTTGTGGAGTCTATATTGCTTGCACCTGGTTGGTTGTTGCAAAGTTTCGTTGGTCGGTCATTTTATATTCATTTATGAGGTAATGCGCTCATCTCTATTCAAAACAAAACTCTAGGAAATCGTTCACCGAACGCTTGTTTGTTGCGCTTGATCGTTCACTAATATGAGCTCGGCAATACAATTAGGGATTTTTGTTTTCGTGAATAGCTCCTGATAGTCTCATGGCAAAATTTGCAAAAATGTAGGCGTTTTTGAGCTAGAGCTTTAACGGTCTTATGGTTATATATAATGCAATATCGACTGTCGCCCTGGAACTCTAAGGCACATTTGAGACATTAAGATCGTAAATAATGTATCCAAACACCCAGAGGGAAAAATACGTTTCTTAATTAGATGGGATTCCACGTTGAAGTTATTTTTCGTCCATTGCAACTTGCAGAACGTTTAGGTTAAGGAATAAATAAAAATTAATGGCAAAATCCGATAGAATGGTTTTGATTATCCAATTAAGTGTTTTCATCAGCTCAGTGTAAGCTTAATTAACTGCATTCATTTCAAGTTAATTAAAATTTCTGCAATAGGAGCAGCTAGTAATAATGTCATTTGCACAAGTTCGTGCAAAAAAAGTCCTTTTGTTGAAAGCTTATAATTCTTTCGGTTATATTGTTTGCGCTGTCTGATCGTGAAGTTTATTAAAAAAATTTAGTCGGAAATCTGGCAACTGTAGCGAGATTTAATATATTTTCTACACTGGCAATTTGCTGCCAACTCGCACAATATTATTTTCAAGACAAAAAGAGTCTAGGTTATTTTTAGCGCATGTTCTTATTTATGAAAAAAATGCACTATTGTGCTCGCCATGTCCGTCCGTCCGTGACTTCATGTTTTCATCGACGAGAAAATGCGCTCTCTGTCACTCACTGCAGTGAGTACTGAGTTACATTTTTAGGGACATTGGAGGGTTATAAATATATGTGCTAGTGCAAATCACTAGCTGGCATGCTCGGCATTGCTCGGGATTAGTAATCATTGAAATTTAAAAATCCTATTACCTGAAATCCTGTTATTCAGTGAGATTTGTCCACATTCGTTATATATGTGTCCGAATTTTGTTCAAACTTTGTTTTATAACGAAATATGTCCAAACATTGTATGAACCTTCGTTCAATATTTTCCAAGAATCGGGATGCATAATAAATGAAATTTGAGAATACCGTCATACCAGATTCAGTCATCTAGAATCACTAAGTTCCTAATGTCATCTTAAATGGGAGACTTCACTCCACTTCATGAGTTTCAAATTGCCATGGTTATGCTATCAGTTAATTACGACAGTTATTATAATAGAGCGGTAATATTATCAGTAACGGATTTTTCATCGTAAGCGAGACGGCATTATAAATGATTTTTATCCAAATTTTCTATATATTGATGTACAATAATGGTTCGGTCTATTCCAAAGGATTTTATTGTTCCAATAAATCAAATAATTCTTTCAGTGCGAACAAACTAGACATAAATATGATAAAAATGTAACAAGAATGAGTGACTCGAATAATGAAGTCATTTAATTAAAATGAGCGGATGCTTATTCTAATTACATCATTTAAACGTTCCTCATGCCTCCAGTTCTCGCTCGAGAGCTATAATTGCCCAGGTATTGTGAAACTGCGTTTCAACACGTCTATGAGATCGACCAAGCGAACTTCTCTTGGAATTGTTCTCGGACTGGCGGAGATATTTCATCGGAAGCCATCGTTTGAACTCATTACAGTCGAGGTAATGCGCTGTAGTTCACGAACTGCCTCGTAACTTAACGAACTTGGCAGTTATGCAGCAACACGATTAACACCTCCGTTCCATTAGCAGCCAAGTTGATTCTTGGCCAGGCTGTAAACGCCCACTGGGAACTTGGGCTACGTGTTTTAATTGATATTGCTAGAGGCCGAATTTAATAACAATAATGAATAATTCCTGAGTTACCTTGATTTTCATTGTGTTGTTATCAGTGTGTATAAACAAATTCTAACGTGAGACAAACAAACGTGTTCAAATGAGACTACGCAAAATTATAAAATGTCGACAGGCTTGAATCCATTGCTGGATTGGAGGCTGCATTGTAAGTGCTACCAATAATTTACATAGCATCTTGTAAAGCATTACCTATTTTTGCAGGATAAGATGGAGAAGTTTGTGGTGCACCTCGTGCAGCTTCTGGGCGAATGGAGCGAAACTTTTCCTTACGACTTCAGAGACGAGCGAGTGATGAGCTGCGTGCGCACCATCACCCATCGTTGTATTGCGTTGCAGCCCAACCTCAGGCGCGACGTAACCCAAGTACGATCAAGTGATGTTTATTTTGTATCTATCCTTAGTATTTGTTTCGGACATGGAAGATCAAGTGATGTTTATTTGTATGTATCCTTGGTATACTTAGTATTTGTTTCGGACATAGAAGATCAAGTGATGTTTATTTTGTATGTATCCTTAGTATACTTAGTATTTGTTTCGGACATAGAAGATCAAGTGATGTTTATTTTGAATGTATCCTTAGTATTTGTTTCAGACATAGAAGATCAAGTGATGTTTATTTTGTATGTGTATCCTTAGTATTTGTTTCAGACATAGAAGATCAAGTGATGTTTATTTTGTATGTATCCTTAGTATTTGTTTCGGACATAGAAGATCAAGTGATGTTTATTTTGTATGCATCTTTAGTATCCTTAGTTTTGGTTTTGGACATAGAAGATCAAGTGATGTTTATTTTGTATGTATCCTTAGTATTTGTTTCGGAGATAGAAGATCAAGTGATGTTTATTTTGAATGTATCCTTAGTATTTGTTTCGGAGATAGAAGTTCAAGTGATGTTTATTTTGTATGTATCCTAAGTATCCTTGGTATTTGTTTCAGAGATAGAAGATCAAGTGATGTTTATTTTGTATGTATCCTTCCTTATTATCCTTAGTACTTGTTTCGGACATAGAAGTCCCAGGCCACAATGGATCGCTGCCTCTTGGTGGCCAGTATGGCTTTACTTCATCTTGTAGTTATACGCTATTATTTTTCATTGTCGTTGTAATTTTACTAATACTTACCTATTTTGTGATACTGTCAGCCGTGGTGACTAAATCAGCCACAATTTTCAGGTTTTCCTTTTCACAGATGTGGGCAATATTGATAGATGGCTAGATGAGAGATTCATGATCCTGAAGATATTTTGCCTTCATTCCTCAACAATTGCCTTTTGTGGCTAATTAATTGTTATATTGCTCGAATTTTTTTGCTCTATTTAGTGATTCTGTGAGCGAGATATTATTTTAATTATTGACTTGTCAATTATGAATGACTTGTAGCAGTGGTACCTACACTTTCATGTTGAGGTGCCACGTAACCGACATTAGCCAGGAACGATCAAGTGACAATTCTCTTGTACATCATAACTTCTTGTAAAAGCTGTAGCTGTCAGCATTATTGTGTGAATTTTGACTCGACTATCTCTTTATTCCAAGACCATTATTCATGTTATATTTATTTGCTACGAATCCATAATTCTATATCCCGTTCATAACAGCTACACAGTTTCATTGACTTTCCTGTTGACTAAGATGCATACATAGTACATGGTTATGAAATGCCGACAATTAATTATACATAACAAAGGAAAGTGCATGTAACTTGTTTTACCGAGTTTCAATTTTTTACGAAAAATGACGAAGAGTTGGATGAATTTTTATTCGTAAATTTTATTTACAATTACATTGTTTGTCGGACGACTTATACGTCACACGTAAAAACATTCTCGTACATTTATTGACTAATAGAACACAAAAATTATCTAGTAACATAAATATATTCAAAATACTTTACATCAAAGTAAAACCTGTGTAACAACATAAAACTTTTTAAATAAAAATATTTTACGTGGCGGGTCCGCGGAATCATTTATAACGAGTGTCGTCCACGATGAAAATCATTTCATTATTATTATTGAAAAACAGGCAGCAACTGAAATTTATTTCATTATTGATTGAAACACCGTTTTACGGTTGGCTGGTCAACCTATTTATTCAAAGACGACGATACAAATGAATTATTTTACAATAGAGATGAAATAACGTTGTACAAACACTAAGTATGGGAAATAATCATACGGGTAACTTTGTCGACACGTACACATGTTTATCTATGTAATCGATGAACGAACCAAGATTTTAATAATATTACTAATTTATTTAGAGAACGATTCATTATAAAACCATTAGAACTCTCTACTCTGCACAGGTAGCAGTTGCACGATAATAGCGATGAATCTCATCCTCTGCCGACAAAAATGTACCAAGTAAATGAAAGAACTAGTTCTTTAGTGACTGATTTAGTAGTAATAATAGAAAATAATAAGTATCCATTTCAACTGAATAATAACTAGTTATCGATGTCTGTGAGAGATCGGGTTAACGGTAATTATATTAATATAACAAAATATTTTAACCTTCCTTATCCTACACCTTAGCAACTAGTTTTTTTACATTAAACCGATTCAATATACAATAATTACAAACGACTATAAATGTACGAACTATAATAAACCTGACATGCCACATTGCAAGTTTAGTTATCATTCTCTCCCCAAAGAGTATTTTTTGTACTAGCCAACCTTCAAAAAACGTAGGAACATTACGTCAATGTGCGCAACTTGAGTTTCCAATTTCGTTTCGACCGGCTGGTCGCTGCTGCACTGCACTGCACTGCTGCCGTGCACTGCACTGACATGATGTTGTTGACTCATGATGATGGTTGACTTTCGGCACGACTGTGATGGAGGAAAGAAGTGTATTTTTTACTATCATCATAAGGAAATAAATTAATTGAACTTAAAACCTGTTGAAATTAACAATATATCAGATTTGCATATGCAGAATTATTGTTACATATTGTTTTTCGTATAGTTACGAAAAAGTTAACGACCAAAGGACGTTTATTAAATAAGACTGTCATGCCAGGTAATCATTGAATCGCACCGCATGCACATGCGTTTATCGTATTATGCTTGGTCATCAGTCAACATGAAAGAAAATCATCTGATCTTCAGTCAAACTTGAATAATCATAATTTTAATTACTCGCACTTCCTTCAAATCAAGGGGTTACCAAACTTTCCAACCGAACTAAATTTGAATAAGAACTGCTGTAATATATGGATTAGATTAATAATATTCAAGATTTCCATCTGGCCGGTTCATACAATATAGGTTTTGATATGCCCAGTCTTAAGATGGAATGAAAAAGTTGCTATTTTTATAGCGTACACACGGTGCAAAGTTGTCTGTATATTTTGCTCAGTTTTGTATGATCGTTATAGATCGTTCAAGGTGGTCGCGGAAGTGACTTCTAAAATGGCCAGACATTTCCCATATTTGATTTCTGCGTGAATTACGTGATGAACTTAATGATTGGCGGAACTAGTTGAGAATGAACATAGAACGTAACTTATTTATTGAAATTACTAACAACGCATATTATCGAAGAAATTACTTGTACAAGAAGGAACCGAAATATCACCACATTAGAGGATAACTGTAACTTCAAGATTTTGGGCAAAAGCTACAGACCTGACGTATTGAAACTGAGGAATAAAACGAATTGAGAAACAGTGCTACCGTCCACTTGCGCGGATATGTCCGCACAGTTCGAAGAAATCTATTCTTTTTTTCTCTGTTACCGTTGCAACTGTGCCGTCTACCCGACGGACTCGAACAGACTGACACGCAACGTTTTATCAGCAACACGTTGAACTGTCCGGACAAAAGGTTGTGCACAACGTAGCGTGTGAACGGTCCTTAACCCTCTACCGCCGTATGTCACCCTCCGGGAGCATGACTTTCGACTTAAATTAATTAAATCCGGTTACATGAGTCAGGCAGCAGAGGATTAAGGATTTAAATTTCGGGATTTTTGAGGTTTCTTAAGTTTAATGTTTATGATCTTGATATACTAAATGTCAATAATTATGCACATCATATTTTTCTAAGTATATAAAACTAATTTAGAAACCGTGCTACCGTCCACTTGTGCGGATATGTCCGCACAGTTCAAAGAAATCTTTTCTTTCTTGCTCTGTTACCGTTGCATCTGTATACCGTCTACCCGACGGACTCAAAAAGACGGACACGCAACGTTTTAATCAGCAACACGTTGAGCTGTCCGGACAAATGATTGTGCACAACGTTGGGTGTAGACGTTCCTTAACCCTCTACCGCCGTTTGTCACTCTCACGGAACATAACTTTCAACTTGATTTAATTAAATCCGGTTACTCATGTCAGGCAAACTCGAATGATTGAGGATTGAAATTTCGGGATTTTTGTGGTTTCTTAAGTATAACGTTTATGATCATGATATACTAAATGTAAATAATTATGTACTTCATATTTTTCTAAGTAATACTCACCTTAGATTTTTGTAGCGTTCTTTCTCATAGCTATTTTCGGGCCCTTCGCATTCGAAAGAAGAATGTGCTAGACCTGTAAATGAAATATTTATTTTTCAGTGTTTTGGCAGCATATATACAATTAAGTTTGTTTATTTTAACTACAAGATAACGAACAAATATAAAACAGAAGCAAACACATGCACATATGTTTCATTTTTACGGTTATTGCCATTAAATTTTTCCAGGTGGATCATTTGCATAATAAAATGTCTAAATCAGTTGCGCACAATGAAGAGCATCTAGCAGGAAATAATTGCTGGGTCTGACCGATCTCGGAGAGTATCGAGGCGCTCTGCAGGTAATTGATGACGTGAGGCACGCGTTCAAAGGGACAAGTCACTTGCTTCCACGCCATGAATTCTGTTACTTGCTTTGCAAGCTGCCAGAATTTGTCGAAATTGATGTATCCGTTAGGTAACCTGCCAATTAGTAAAATACAATACATATCAATTCAATGATCTTAAATTTTTGAGAAATAAATTGGCATGGCTTACGCGCCTTCAGAGCGAAAACTTATCGTTTTGTGTTTATTACGATTCTTTTAGTGAATGACAGGTGTTGCTTATTATAAAACGAATAATTTTAACAAAGCTAACAAAACCTTGCCTTGGATCATGATTCTAGCAAGGGAATGTATTCACAATTAAGAAATTTTCCCTACTTCTAATTTGTGATTAACCAATAAATTTCAACAACAGCTATTACAAAACTAAGGTTGAGGAAGAAAAATTCTCGTTCGCGAGTACAATGAGTATGAATATTTTGTACCTGCTAGCACAGCCTTCGTTGAGGAAATATAGATCTTTAACAAGTAAACTGAAGAAAGGAATGACTATCTTCTGTCTGTCGTCGACAGCTCCAGCTGACCGCCACATCGCCGCCTTCAGAGTACTGCGGTAGCTCGAGAAGTTGCTCGTCGGGTCCATTTGGTGCTCCAGCACTGAAAACTTGGCCGTCTGCACTTTGCTCCACTGTAAAGTAAGCCAATATGTTTTTGTTTTAGCTGTTCATGCATATTTTGGTTAGGTCTGCACTTCACTGCTCATTGTAACGTAGGATAACGTGTTTTTTGGGTTAGTTATATCTACACTTTGCTCTACTGTAAAGTAAGCCAAAATGTTTTTGTTTTAGCTGTTCATGCACATTTTGGTTTGGTCTGCACTTCACTGTTCATTGTAACGTAGGATAACGTGTTTTTTGGGTTAGTTAAGCAAATATTGATCTACATAGTCTGAACTTTGATCCACTGTAAAGTAAGCCAATATGTTATTGTATTAGCTATTCATGCATATATTGGTTTGGTCTTCATTTTGCTTTATTGTAATGTAAGATAACGTGTATTTTTGGGTTAGTTATGCAAATATTGTTCTAGTGTGCACCTTGCTCCACTGTAATGTAAGCCAACTCGTTTTTTTACTAAATTATGCAAATATTGTTCACGTCTGTGCATTGTTCCGCTGTAAATAAGGCAGCGTGTTTTTTTCAGTTCGTTCTGTATTCGACGTAACAGGTTCTACCTCATAGCTAAATAAGAAAGAGTCTTATACTAAGATATTCGGACATAGATGCTGGTAAAAATATCTAAATATAATACCAATATCTATAAAGCCAACCTATTTATGAAAGTTTCAATCATGTGCAACACTGGCGATCAAAAAATTTTTAAAGTAATGGGAAAAAGATCCAGATTCCATCAACTGCAATTAGTGTTTGCAATTATCTACTCATTCAAACAATAAAAAAAACTATCAAAGAAATCTAATTTTTATAAAGTGTATGGTTTGAAATTTATTGACAGCTTTGAAAATTACGCCTTGCTATCGGACGGAATTCATATAACACCATTTCAACGCCTACATATACGACCAACAGTTTATGAGCTGATCAAAAATGTCAATGCGTATTTGAGCAAAACCATCTTTTATTTTTGTCTTGACTCACAGTTTTCTTCAGTCTTGACACGGGTGACATGTTAAGTCCTGCTATGATGCCCATGAGGGAATTAAAGTTGCCGATATTGAAGCATTCCCTAGCCACCTCAATCCACCACTCAATGACCCGGACTCGCTGCTTCTTCTTCAAATGCTGCGAACCGAGGAAGGTTTCACGTCATAAATATCAACAAGAGGTAAAAGTATCAAGGAGAGATAAATTATAACGAAGATTTGTCGCCTCCCACGAAAAAATATGAGGGAACTGACGACTTATAAAATAAGAGATGATATGAATAAGGTTGATTGACGACCATGAGACATTATCCGGTCGCGTAAACACGAACTCATAATTTATTTTTTGTTGATGGTAATAATGCCCTTAGAAATTGTTGTGACTGGTCAGTGGAATGTTCATTCGTTCAAGAATGATTCGAAACATCGAAAATATTTTAAATCGTCAAGTCTAGCCTAGGCCTGGTGTGCTGAGTATCACCCACTAAAATGTGAAAATTATCGTCCATAATTAAAATCAACGAATTTTTCAAACGCTCCATGTATGAAATAAAATGCGATACCAATCATAACGAAGTAATGAACCATTGGATGACGCAATTTCATCAAGAGTGTTCGTCTCATATATGAATATATTACAAATCGACCTTGCAAATAATGACTACTGCATCAACATGCCAGAAATTAAGACAAATCTAACTAATAGAAACAATTTAATATTAAAAGTGAAGACTATATTCTTGAAAAAAAAAACAAGTACAAACATAATATTCTTGAAAGCTTTTAAGCGTGAACGAAAAGTTCTCGCATAAAACTAATGAAATATTCAAATGAACAACATTGCAAGCCCTCGACGATACTCACCGATACTGCCTGCGTGGCGACAGAGTAGGAGAGTTTATTGAACCACTGAACGTAAACTTCTAAATTGTTGGTTTTCTTAAGGTCTTTGTAGGACGAGTCGATATTGCTGTCTTTGGCAAAAGCTTGGACAAACTCCTCGGGTCCGATGAAACTCAGTCGTTCCAGCTCGATGTGTGTAAGTTGTTGGGCCATCACTAGCGGACTACTGCAAATCTCGGTGATATCAGGAACCTGAAAGCCAACCACAATACATACTTAGTACCACAAAAATTTACGAGGTCAACACACAAGAACATTTTCTAACAAACAGGATGAGAAGACTTTCCGTTGCTTAAAAGATTTACAAAGATTATAAAAATTTACAAGACAAAGTATCGGTGATCATCCTATCGCCACACTGCCAGAATCAGAGTTCGCTTTGCTTGATTTAAACACAATGAAGAATTACTGAGGGTTCAATAAGAGAGTGTAGAACCACAGAATCCACTCGGCGCAGGTTTTATTATTCATAATGGTCACTTGGCATGAAATAAATTTGGAATATAGAGCCGATCGGATGTTTCATTCTTCGGTCATTTGTATCTAGTACTATTTATATAATTTTAATTAATCACAGTGCTGCCGGTCTGATATTTAAATATTTCTAAGTTATGATTTCTAAGTTATGAATCTATACATGGAACAAAATCAATTCCCATATCGGAAAAGAATAAAAAAACAAGAGTGCAACGTTTAAGAGGAAATGCCAAGTTTGCTTCGCACACTGGCGGCAAAATTTATACCGGCCAGGAGCATACATAATTTTGTAATTATTCCTAAAAAAATGAGGCGAAAGTAAAAAGTCACTAGGTTTTTGTGCAAGAAGTTAGCATGAACTAAGTTGAAAAAATTTGAGCCGCAGCTTCAACAGCTGCTGTTGTAGGCTCATAAAAGAAAAGGTTCTCAACTTCTTTCCAGTGAAGAAGCTCAGTGTTGAAGCCATAAACTTCCAGCAGAAGTTAATTCAAGCTCAAGGGTACAAGTACTCCAACATAAACAGCCAGACAGATAAATGAGGGAACCATGGCCTGGAGTAAAGGAACTTGCAAGCATTTATTTTACGGAAAGTATCTGCATTGCAATTTGCTTTGAGCATGTGAATGTAATTCATGAACACATAATGAACTATCTAACGTTTAACGATAAAATTAGTAAAGTTAACGAGTTTTTATTTGAATCATTACGAAAATTAAGAATAAGCCATGCGCGTTCCTGCTTCGGATGTTTTGTCTCGATATGAAATAATCTATAAGGAAAAATACAATAGTTTTCTAAGTTTTAATTCCATGCAGAAACAAAATCATTTAGAATAGAAACTCTGCATCAGTAAAAACAATATGACCTCTACAATAAATGGTCTCACTAATGATCACAAAGCCGCTAATAAAGAAATTGAGTACCTACCATAAGAAATGTTCGCCATTAATTATCAACTTTACAATAAATTAATGAGAAAATGGCTGAGGAGATGCATATTTCGAGCGTCCGTCAGTCCGCTCTAAAAGAGAAGTTTTTACTCAGCTTTTGCCTTTGATCACAATGTTTTCTGGACGTTCCACTCCATGTTTTCTCCGACATCCTACCAGAAGGTATTAAAGATTCTCATTTTCAGAAGTACCCGCTTACTTGTACGTCAGAGTTGACGACAATTTTTTCAGTAAAACCAACTTACATCAGAGCAGAACCCACTTACGTCAGAGTAGAACACGCTTTTTTCAGTAAAACCCACTTACGTCAGAGTATAACACACTTTTTTCAGTAAAACCCACTTACGTCAGAGTATAATACACTTTTTTCAGTAAAACCCACTTACGTCAGAGTAGAACACATTGTTTTCAGTAAAACAGTAAAACCCACTTACGTCAAGTCACTTACGTCAGAGTAGAACGCACATTTTTTCAGTAAAACCCACTTACGTCAAGTAGAACACACTTTTTTCAGTAAAACCCACTTACGTCGAATAGAACACACTTTTTTCAGTAAAACCCACTTACGTCAAGTAGAACACACTTTCTTTCAGTAAAACCAACTTACGTCAGAGTAGAACACACTTTCTTTCAGTAAAACCCACTTACGTTAGAGTAGAACACACTTTCTTTCAGTAAAACCCACTTACGTCAGAGTAGAATACACTTTCTTTCAGTAAAACCCACTTACGTCAGAGTAGAACACACTTTCTTTCAGTAAAACCCACTTACGTCAGAGTAGAACACACTTTCTTTCAGTAAAACCCACTTACGTCAGAGTAGAATACACTTTCTTTCAGTAAAACCAACTTACGTCAGAGTAGAACACACTTTCTTTCAGTAAAACCCACTTACGTCAGAGTAGAACACACTTTTTTCAGTAAAACCCACTTACGTCAGAGAGAGAATCAGCGGGTGGGGCGACGGTGTGTTTGGCGAGACTCTCTTCGTACCTCTCCAGGTGGGTGAGTTTATTTAGTAAATTGTGAAGGATCTGCACAGTGACAATTACCGAAATTAGAAGTAATTAAGAGAAGCGAAATAATCGTGGGGTAGGCAAAATAATTTCGTCAAGAGGAAAATGAAGAACGAATGTTCATTTGATTTACTAATGTTGACTAATATATCGCCAGATAAGGTGAATTTTACACTTTATACAGTATTGAAGGTAATTATATTCAAAATCCGATATTTAAACGAGATCTTATGCTTGAACTGAATGAATTTATCCAAAAGGATACGAGTATAAATCAGGAATTGAACCAACACATGTATAATAAATTCAGATTATTAAGTTCAATTGTAAAATCAGGATACACAGGTGGAAGAGAAGCATACCAGTTACTTCTCTAAATCTTTAAATATATTCCGTCAAGCACAAGCTGTGAAAAAAAACCGCATGCATAGATAACCACAATAAAACAATCGTTCTTAATGTTCATCAAAGAGTTCAATTTCCCAAAATAATAAATAGGCAGAATAATCAATAAAATTTAAACAGAATATCTTACGGTGTCACCAGGCGATCAGGAAATGTAATGATGCGGTGTTACAATATAGAATGCCTCGGACGTTAATAAAGATAGCACAAATGTCAACAAAGTAACTTGGACTTGACTGAAAAATGGGATAAAAATATAGAACTAAATAGTACCCCATTAACTTGGTTTAAAATCAGAAAAGAAAGCAAATTACGCTGTGAACTTTTGGAAAATATAAATTTATTTCTTGTTACTATTTTAGAGTATTAAAAGAATTATTCAGGGCAGTGGTTTCCAAAATAGGGAAAATTAGCCACAAAAGGCAATTGTTGAGGAGGGGAGGCAAAATATCTTCAGTATAATGAATCTTTCATCTAGCCCATCTATCAATATTGCCAACATCTGCGGAAAGGAAAACCTGAAATTGTGGCTGATTTAGTCACAACAGCTGACAGTGTCACAAAATAGGTAAGTAGAAGCCAAATTACTACGATACTGAAAAATAATAGCGTATAATTACAAGATGAAGTAAAGCCATACTGGCCACCAAGAGGCGGCGATCCATTGTGGCCTGGGACTTCTATGTCCGAAACAAATACTAAGGATACATACAAATAAACATCACTTGATTTTCTATGTCCGAAACAAATACTAAGAATACATACAAAATAAACATCACTTGATCGTACTTGGGTTACGTCGCGCCTGAGGTTGGGCTGCAAGGCGATACAGCGATGGGTGATGGTGCGCACGCAGCTCATCACTCGCTCGTCTCTGAAGTCGTAAGGAAAACATCACTTGATTTTCTATGTCCGAAACAAATACTAAGAATACATACAAAATAAACATCACTTGATCGTACTTGGGTTACGTCGCGCCTGAGGTGAGGCAACATATCTTCAGTATCACGAATCTTTCATCTAGCCCATCTATCAATATTGCCAACATCTGTGAAAAGGAAAACCTGCAAATTGTGGCTGATTTAGTCACAACAACTGACAGAATCACAAAATAGGTGAATATTAGCAAATTTACAACGATAACGAAAATAGTAGCGTATAACCTACAAGATGAAGTAAAGCCATCCTGGCCACCAAGAGGCGGCGATCCATTGTGGCCTAGGACTTCTATATCCGAAACAAATACTAAGGAAGGATACCAAGGATACATACAAATAAACATCACTTGATCTTCTATCTCCGAAACAAATACTAAGGATACTAAGGAAGGATACTAAAGGTACATACAAAATTAACATCACTTGATCTTCTATGTCCGAAACAAATACTAAGGATACTAAGGAAGGATGCTAAGGATACATACAAAATAAACATCACTTCATCGTACTTGGGTTACGTCGCGCCTGAGGTTGGGCTGCAAGGCAATACAGCGATGGGTGATGGTGCGCACGCAGCTCATCACTCGCTCGTCTCTGAAGTCGTAAGGAAAAGTTTCGCTCCATTCGCCCAGAAGCTGCACGAGGTGCACCACAAACTTCTCCATCTTATCCTGCAAAAAATAGCAAACGCTTTATGAGATTCTGCATATATTATGGCCTCTCAAATTGTATTATGCAAATTTAGTGTGCTGAGATAAAAGTTATGGTGTTAGGAGAATGATCATTGCAGAGAAGCCAAGTTAAAAAAATGTGGGTTCATTCACTATAACTACATTTGAGAGTTTAATACGTTTAGAGCAAGAATTATAATAAAAAGATGGAATTACTGACCATAAATTTAATGTCATTAAAAATTTTCAGAAACAATAACGAAATGTTGAATTGAAAGACAAATTTGATTTGTATTTGAAATTTTAAATGTATCACAAAATGTCCTGTAAAAAACCTATCTGAACGTAATTCAAACCTTCAACTTGTAACATGAGAAGGGATTCGTGAATGAAGGTTTAAATAAAATCACCAGAAAACATGATTATCTTCAATTTTTTTGTGGGACATCATAAGCTAATTTCAAATAGAATGAGCCATTAAAATCGTTAAGAAGACTTCAATCGAGTTATTTAAGAAGGAAAAATTCTACACATAAAAGGCGGTATTTTGCCTCCACTGCTAAAAAATAACAGACACACTTATTTCAAATGTTTTGTCTTGGTTCTTGCAATATTTGAATTCTACGGATATCTTGAGAAATGAACAACAAAATTCATAATATCCGGCTTTGTGCTATGCAAGGTCAGGCTTTACAAGTTCGTTATCTATCATACATCTTGAATTTCATATTCCGTAATATCAATTCATTAATTGAATGAATGGTTATTGAATTATCGATTGGAGAGCTCAATTATAGATTAAATATAAGCTGACGAGAGCCCTAATTTAGTTATTGACAGATACTATAAACGAAATCGGCCGCCGATTGAACCGATTAAGTATTGAAATCATTTTAGGTAAGCACAACATGTGGAATAGATTAAAAACCTTATCGACTGAAGAGATATCATCTTCTTGGAGGCCCTGCTGCGTAAATCCGAGGTCACTGACTCTCTGCAGCAATTCGTGAGGTTTGATGAAGAGACGCGACGATAAGAGAAAAGCGAAGAGATAAGCTGTGTCGGGATAATAGGAGGCGGTGGGGGTGGCGTGCTGAACTAGGGCTTGCAGGGAACCCGATACCAACACGCCGTCTTCATACACCAACGACTGAAAAAATAAATAATATAACTCAGTACTCACTGCAGTGAGTGACAGAGAGCGCATTTTCTCGTCGACGAAAATGTGAAGTCACGGACGGACAGACAGACATACGGACGGACGGACATGGCGAGCACAATAGAGCGCATTTTTTCCATAAATGAGAAAATGCGCTAAAAAGCAGGATATCTTCATTAACATGATCTATGTCCAAAAAGTGTGTTGGTTATTGTATAATCGGTCTTCTGTACATGAAATTTCACTGTCGACTAGTCATGGTGGGAGAAATAAAAAACGTGGCTTAATTTTAGCTATAGAATGGAAAACTTTCAACTAAATGATAAGGAGCATGACATGAGAAACTTTTTTCATGTCAAATTCATGTCCTGCAAACTGGTTAGATTAACATGATAAACAATAATTAAAGTTTCATACAGTGAACATAGCCTATAAATTATTCCTTCAAACATGGAAAGTAGTCCTGCTGCTATCAAACAGCACCAGACAGATCAAAACAGCAGTTTGTAGTGCAGGTGGGAACCATTCATATCACGTGGGCGGTTGTGCCGACATGCTTTACAATAAAGCTTAATCGCCAGGCCCACGAGTTAAGAGACTCGGGCGTGAAGTAAATTATATTTGGCTTTTACGCAGAGCCAAGCGCCTACTTCGACACGCTCGCTCGTACTTAACGATCGCTTGAGGGCTTTGGATAAGCCGAATGCCGCTCGAAAACACGGAATATGAGCTACCGATGACAAGAAGACAACGCCGCTACCACTACTTATGTAACAATTGATCCTAGCTAAATACGATGCTAATAACTTGATATAAAGAAACGTGGTAAAATTTATCATATACGAACTCCCATTGGTCGAAAAAAATCCCAGCACTGTTTTAAATGAGTTTGAATAATTCTTGGTTGTACAAACTGGAAATTAGAATGATGAGAATCTAAACGTACATGCCAAACGATATAGAACCCGGGATACAAAAATTAAAAAATATCCGGTTTTAAGTCAACTATGCATAACATTTAATGTTTTTCTGACGACCTTAATGAATACCACAAAGTACAGGCGAAACTTGCGAATTCTAAAAATAACAAGGAACAATCCAGGAATTAGGAATTTCCATTCTTTAGATCTACAAGAGTTCATTCTATTACAAAAGTTTCGTAAAAGAAATTTTTAGAATAAGATATGTGACCCTCTGATTCGAGCTGTGGAGATAGAAATCTCTATTGAAATTCTTTTTTTTATTGCACAACCAACTTTTTTTGGCACAGCAACCAATATTTAAAAAGTTTAGCGAATTATTGTTCAACTGGCGGTCTCTCGAATCACAAGGAAACATAAACCTAAGTCTTGCTTAATTAACTCTTTATTTAACTTAAACAAGGTGAAGGCGTTAGTTTCATAGATTTCCCTTTCAAAAAATTGTTCCTTCTATCTTGATCCAATGCAATACAATTGATTTTCATTATTTAAAGCATCCGTATAGCCAGAAATGAGAAGAACATTGGGTTTCCGTGGTTCTCACAAAATTATTCAAAAGAATATTCTATTTGTGTTCAATAGCTGACATTTAATAAGAAGCGCATGTAAAATAATGTTGCTTGCCATTTCGTGCGGACTGTGAAATATTCGCCACATAAGCCCGAAAATTGTACTCACGTTGTCATCATCTGGAAGCGTAGCCCATTCCGGAGCCGCTCCTCCATCTTGGCTGCCTCTCAAGCCGCCACCCTTTGGGGTTTGAGGCAAACCCTGGTGAGAAAAATAGATGCATATTGCTATTAAACTTTATAATAAACAATTTTGGGGTTTGACGCAAACCCTGGCGAGAAATAGATGTATATTTTTATTAAACATTATAAATCAATTATTTTGAGGTTTGAGGCAAACCCTGGCGAGAAAAATAGATGTATCTTTCTATTAAATTTTATAATAAAAAAATTTTGGGTTTGAGGCAAACCCTGGCGAGAAAAATAGATGTATTTAATAAAAAATTTTGGGGTTTGAGGCAAACCCTGGCGAGAAAAATAGATGTATAGTTTTATTAAACTTTATAATCAATAATTTTGGGGTTTGACGCAAACCGTGGCGAGAAAAATAGATGTATATTTTATTAAACTTTATAATCAATAGTAGTCCATGCCAACAAAACTTATTTGATACTATTTTATACAGGGTGATTCACGGAAACTTCCTGTTTTGTACTTCGCACCAGTCAGATGATGTAGGAAAAGGGCGGGGAGTATTTCATATGAAAGGCAAGGTCATGAAGTTTCATGAAATAGGAGAAGCAATTTGATGAAACATGAACAGGAAATTTCCCTATATTCAGTCGACTGTAAAATACGCTTAGAAATGGTTTGAAATAACAACCAAGTCGATAGTGAAGTAATAGAGAATAAAAAATATAAAATTACATTAAACAGATTGAAAACGGTCATAAATCCTAAAAAGAATTACAAAAATGTAAAATAGTTCCCTTAATTAGAGTCCGGAAAATAGAATTGGGACAGGGGAAAAATTGTTTGAAATTTTAAAGTAAGGAGTAGATGCCAAGAGATGAAACTAATACTGACTAATGTTTTGTTTAAAATAGGCGATAGATAGGCACTCTCTTTAGGAGAGTGAACTTAAACATAATGGATAGTTCATAATGCTCCCCCTCCGTTTTGTTTTATACATTATAAATAACACGCTCGTATAAAGAGTCAATATAAATAAATTACTAATTCTGCGACGCAAGTTTTCAAAATAACATATATCAGTAGAAAAGGAAGGATCGACTTGGGTGCAAATCAATGCTCGCAGACTTTTATTGGTCAGTTACAAAGAACCGGTTTCTGCAAGTATTGTTCATGAACATCACAAGATGAGCCAAGAGAATACAAAACGTCCAAAGTTTTTCCGCAAGAACCATACGGCAACGATTTGCGACGAGACACAGGACGCGGCCGTGAGTTACTCAGCCTGATGTGGTCGCTTATCAATATCACGAAACATCCGCGCATATTTTTTCACTTATATCCGGAGGCAAGCTTGGCGTGCGACAGTCGCGCTGCATATTTAGGAGAAATTAAAAGATTACAAGTTTAGTTCTAATTAAGTTCGGCCGCGCAGAATAAAAAGATCAACCTCCATTTAAAAAATGTAAGTTCCAAGTGTCCAATAAATTACGCACCACACAATCCTCCGGGATATGCAAACGCATAAAATAGGGACATAGCTCACTACAATCAGAGTATCTGGCATTTAATTAACTTTTTGAGAAACTGCTAGCACCATTCGAACAGAATGACAGTGACTAAGATAAATGTTACATTACTTTCAAAATAAACTAATGGTTATTCAGCACTGACGTGATAACACTGGAAAATATCTGCTTATTTTTGATTTACCACTTTGTCGAAAATGTAGATGAAAAGCAACCTTCGAAATAAATCCCGGAAGTTTCCAATATCATCTTGAAATATCCGACGATTATCCAGACGATGTATATAATAGTAAATAGGAATTCCTTTTCAATTTAGTTGAATGCACACGTTCACTAAAAGATGACAGTGTGCGTAGGTGAAAATTCAGCAAAAATATAAATAATAAATAGATCATTTGTTGACACAAGAAAATCTACAATGACGCTCATTCAACTGAAGCGATTAATAACTAAGCGCTCTTCCTACGCAAATATGAAACAAACGGAGACCGTCCAAAAGGTTCCTTTAAGAACTTTGGTTAGTGCGGGTCCAAAATTACTCTTGTGAATGAAATGTTTAAAAATTATGTTGATAAAGGCATTTTGGAGCTCCAGTAGCAGATACAATACCGTACACGAATAAAAACTGATCGTTCGAAGCTTCTTTAATAAATAATAAAACTCTGTTTGAACAAACGGATCAGAATATCCAGCATCAACACAAAGAAATAAAGCATTACAATATAACGAATTTGAAAAAAAATCTTGAACGAATTTTATACGTGCGACACAAAACGTGACTATTTACATTTGCTAATATATGAACCTCCAATTAAAAAATATATGCAAGTAGTCCACTTTCGAATCATTAACAATAACAATGACCAATAAATAAACTTTAGAAAAAATCTACTACTGGACCCGACAAAAGATGTTTACAGATAAAACATGAATTTTCTTTACCTGCACAAGGGCCATATGGAGTTTGAGCGCATAAAAATACATGGCCATCGTATATGAGATGAGTACAGTCAATGCTATGATATCTTAGTGCTGCTGGTGCCTTAGAAAAATCACTCAAGTGTTCAGGAAATGTAATGTCCTTTAGTCCATGATGCCTCACTCGAGCTCGGTGATCACTGTGGTTGCTATTCACTCTCACTGATGAATCTACGTAGCATTTGGTCTTACTGATGACCCAGGTGAAGCATTGAAGCTCTGCAGCCATGGTTACTGAGAAGTATAGGACGCAGCACCAGCAGCAAATGAGGTAGCTTGGACTCCAGGCACAGCTTGAGGGAACGCACGCGTAGTTTCATAGCACTGACAAATGGGATCCTCTTATGAGGGGCAACACAAAGGCTGCACCGTTCATCTTGCTTGATTCACAATATCACATTCGTGTTACTCATGACATTTTGTTGTTAATTGCAAGCTGATTCTACTAATTAAAGAATTCACAATAACAACTCAATGTATGTAATGCAACACGCACGGCCTAAAAAGGCACTAAATTCATAGCTAACTCATTTCCACAAGAGTTGTAAACGAAAATTAAGCATATGATTTTTGTGGAATTTTTCACGTGATTATTTCATAGAAATTTTGTTAAGTTACACAATGCAGGCTTCCGTGCGGCCAGTGCATGGATTAGGGGCTGGCTAGACAACACATCTTCTCCATAATCTTCACGGTGCGAACTTTCTGAGAGAAGGATTATGCAGATTTGGCAGTCAGCTGCAGCAGCCAAGCTCGAGTCTCGACAAGTATCATTCACCAAGCTAACATGAACAGGAGAACTAGGATGCCACACATAGCGCACTGTAAATTTGGCTCAGGAGCTAACATGTTGAAAGAATTTCGCCTGAGAAGTCGTAAATGATGTTCTGTCAATATTATTATGAAAGATGAAATAATTCACAGAAAAAAATATGCTCGTATTATATAAAACAGAGAACAATTTAGGTTTTGCAAGTTTTTCAGCTAAGATTTTTTCCATTAATTCAAGATATTTATTTATGTATAAAAAATGAAAGTGTATGCACCAAAATAAATAAAATAATTCAAATAATTTACAAATTTGGGGATCTAAAATTTTTTCCTGTATCATGGCAAATAAATGTACAGTCTGGAATATATTATTTGTGTATGGTTCCGAGTTCGGTGTTCGGATTCTACCATAAAGTGAACGTAAACATTCAAGTTTTTACGAGAACTATCTGACGGCACTAAACTCGAAGTAAATTTCCTATTATACTTGAAAGAGCTCGCTACAAAGCCCTATCTTCACATTCTAACTTTAAATAAGGCAGAGCACAAGACTGCCGGCACAGGCGTTTGATCACGTGCGTACCGCGGAGACAGAGGAAGGCTTTTACGGTCCACAACATATCTTATCAGTGGAAGGGAGTAGGCACTTCATGGATGTCAACATCAGGAGCTAACACATAAAACTGAAAATAAAATTGGTCTCTGGTAGGGCAACTTTTTCCGGCTACCGAGCTGGATCAAATTCGCGGAAATTCTCCGTGTTGGACTTTCATTTCGGGCATTTTGCCGAGTCCGGCCTTCAAGAGATTCCAGGACGCGCCTAATGTCACGGAAGCGACGAGCGACCTAGCGCTAATGATACAGTTTAAAAATCTTACATTTCAAAGGGAATGACACATTTCTGCTGGAGAGAATTGCAGGGAACCCATAAGTCTTATGATGTTTAGGGCAGCTGCCACAGAATATACGAGGCACCATAGGAGCAAATATGGCACATCTTGGCTATTCGAGCCAAAGATGAAATTCGCGCCCAGTTTTATAGCTAACTTTCAGTTATGAAATTGTGAGGAGTAGCACCGAATTTCCGGCAATCATAAATTATGAGGAAGCTTATGGGCCTTAAAATTCTAAATTCAAGGTTAATTTAAAGTATTTACACTCGTTTAACGAATATTCCAGTTATTTGTAAATATATCAGTGAATTAAAATCAAGCTATTGAAGTTTTCGAACAAATCCGCTCAGCAGAATAACTACTTTAAAGGTTCAAAAACGTAAAAGTAATTTTGTCTCTAGAAATTAATGCAGAAATTGTACCTAAATCCGATATTTTGCTCTAATCGATAAACTGATAGTTTGAACAGATGTTAAAACGCTTGAATTTTATTTTATGACAGCCATTTATGAAGGAAATAAATGGTTATTTCCTCCACGGAGCTGTTCCGTAAAAATTCACTCGCAGAAAATAGAATAGGATCGAATACAAATTGTATTGAAGCAAATAAACTGCACTCTTCTAATGAATTCATGCCTGCATTTTTTCGACCAAGGACAAAATATTTATGCCATGTAAGTGCACTGAATTCTTGGCTTTCAGTATAATTCGAATTTATTAAAGTTGCTTCACAGAAGAATTATGGGGCTTTTAGTGGACTATAATTAGATATACTCGGTCGTTCAACAATACAATTATTTTATAAACTTTCATTGAAATCTCCCTGGAAACGCGCTGAAAACTTTTTTGCAATAAGCGAAGAGCGTTATTCTTTTCAATTACATTCACCGTTGACAATA